GTAATGACTGGAGCTCAGGGCCAGCCCAAGAAGGCCAGAGCCACAAGCTCACCCTATATGCTAGGACCTCGGGCTGTGACCACCCTAGTTTGCATCACCAGCTTTATCTGCATCCTGCTAAGTGGGTTTGGCTTCACAGTCTATCTACAGTGGCCATTTGGTGGCTTCTTTAAGATCTAGTGTTGTGGCCACCCCGACCCCAGGCCACGCGTGTTCTCCCTTATGCTCAGTTTCCTGTGTAGGGTGAGCGGGCAGGGTTCTTCTGTTGGTGGTCCCTACCTCTCCAGGGCTGGGTGATTTCACAGGGAAGGCTATTCTGCTTCTGCGCCTGAGCTTGAGTATTTGTCTACCTGTCAATGTGCTGGGGACCAAGTGGGGGAGAGGCCTGAGAGGAGGGGTGTACCCTCATTCCGTGTGTCCTCCTTCACTCACTGCTCCGTGCAACTGTGCCTGGAGTCCCCGGTGAGGGTCTATTTATTCTCTTCCGAGACAGCCATCCTGCTTGGAAGAAGGGGAGAGGCAACTGGGGAAAATCTTAGAGATGTCAAGAGCCAACAGTCCTACGTGGAGGAATTTTCCAGGGACCGGGGACTAAGCATGACTGAGAGAGACTCCCAAGGGCGCTACCTGGATAACGAGCTCCTCCTTAGCTTCTTGAGTCTCACTGAGGATTCAGCTTTTTAGGTTGCTCTGTGAGTCAAGAATCACCTTTCAGCTTTTTGTTTTCCAAACTGCTATCTCCTGTCTTTTCCTGTATGAGCTTGTGTCTCTATTACTCAATTTAGTGGGCTTGGGGGAGGGGGGGTGTGTATTAAGCTATCATCTTTACCTCAAGTTGGTTACAGTCATTGTTTCAGGAATTTCTTTAAAAAGGGCACATATCTGTTTACCCTGTGAAGAGGGTAACATTTATTTAAAAATCTCTTCTCACACGACAAAGTTAAGCTTCTTAGTTGGGTAGAGTGCTCCTGGGTCAAGTTTTCTCCCTCTGTAGAAGACATTCATCTTAAGGTTTTCTAATTTTCAGTTTCTGGAGTCCAATGGGGGTCGCATTCTATATCCTTCACTTATGACTTGTATTTTTCTTTCTAGAAGCTTTAAAATTCCTTGCTCCTGATATGTCAAAGGAGTTACAGTTTTCCTGTCTCATTGAGTCTTTCCAATACCTCAGACCTTCTTAAGAACAGCAGGAAAAAATCTCCCCTTTTTACTTTTAAACTTAACCTTTCTGTATGTGTGCTTTTCCCCCTGCAATGCCTACTGTCTACATGTCAAATATTTTGGATTTCCCACATTATTTCCTTCCCTTCACCTGTCTGCTCTATATTGGAGATGCTTCTTCCATTTATTCCTTTGGGTCACTGAACTTGTCCTCAGCAGTGACTGCCCTAACTTTCACTTAGCTGAAATATTTTCACTATTTCAAAAAAATCACAATTTTTAGTTCAACAATGTATTTTTCCTCCAATCCAGATCCTTAAGGGCTTTATTTCTCAGTAAGCTCAGCCGGGTGCCTCCCACACCAGCATCTCCAACAACGGAGCCCCGCCTCAGAGGGCCCCCCAGGGTTTGCTCCCTCCATGTACCCTTCTTTTCCTTTGTACACTCACGGCTGTGTTTGCACCCAACAGTCAGGTGAGGGGTTAGGAAGCAGTTACCGGGAAATGTAGAACAACTGAGTGGGGAGGGGGGGGCAAGCTCATGTGCAGCAGCCACCGGCTCCCTGCTGTAAACACATCTCCAGGGCTGACTTCAAACTCCAAGGTCACACCAGAGTGGGTGGACTAGGAGGAGCCGTGCATAGGGGGCCCAGGGGCAGTCTGGTGGCCCCAGCACCTACAGCAGATAGTTCGCCTGAGCCCCCAAATCAGAATTGGTTTTTTTTCCTCTGTTCTCAAATCCTTTATATCTTCACTTAGCACTTATTTTACTCTGTCCATTAATGTAGCTACTTCTTCACATGTTTGTCTCTGTGATAGAAACTTCTGAAGGAGACATACATTTTTTGTCTTCGAGTCTCTTCTAGAACTGAAATCAATTATTTGTTGAATAACTTTATGACTGCTGCTTACCAGAAGACAAAGATCATCCTGACCACTTCTTTTGATGGGGCTGGTCGTTTTAGCCCAAACTATGCATTGTTCATTACAGGCCAACTGAAATAATAGTTCTTAAAATATCTTCTTCCTCATTTTCCCTTTATTTTAGAATCAAAGTACCTATTCCCCCATTTTCCCTTTATTTTTCAGGAAAAAAATAAGGCTCTTCAACACTAGAACCTAATAAACTAATATGAAGAACAAATTTCACATCTCCTATTTCTAAATTTTAGACATATTTCAAAGTTCATTCTAAGAACCTTTATTAACACTGTCTTAGTCTACAAATAAACTTGGGATAATAAACATATATAATAGAAAAATTTAACATGGTCAAAAAAAAAAAAAAAAAAAAAACACCAAACCAGGCACTTGCCTATGAATAGTGCCTAGGATAGCTGGACAGATGGGAAGCAGATGGGTAATCCAAAGGGGCAAAATGACCCAGCCTCAAACATATGGAGAAGATCCTGGATTAACTTCAGTTGCCACTTCCTGCTGTCTCTCTAGGCACATATATCAAACAACCAAAGATAATATAGTTTAATATATCTAAGACATGCTCTGGAGGGAAGGGGAAAGGCAAAGAGGAGGAACGTGAAGAACAGACAATGGCCATTCAGAAAAGAGCTGGCATGAAAAGAATGAGGACTAAAATAAGAGGCGGACGTTAAGAATGACAAATAGAGGTGTGTGCTTTTTTCCACACTTTAAAATTTCATTTTCTAACTTCCAAAATTGCCCTGATGCTGATGCATAATACATATGTTTTTTAAATTACATATGGAAGATTATAAAAGAGTCTCTGAATGTTTTCCTTTTCCAAAAATAGATAGATAACATATCTATAGATAACATATATCATGCTCTGGAAATGCCTGATTTACGAATGTGAATCAGGGCACAACTGAAGGAATACTGCAACAGAAGTTGAAAAGTCCAGTTCAGTTCCTGACTTTATCATATTACCGGTCATTTAGCTTTATCAATTTCTCTGGACTTGGTTTCCTGACACGTAAAATGAAGGTTGAAATTAACTAATTGCTAATGGTCTTTCTACTCACTAATAACAATTTTAAAAATGGTGTTCCTATCTTTCATAAGCACAAAAAAACAGAATCAGAGTCCAAGCTGATAATTCCCTTCCAAAAAAAAAAAAAAAACGTAATCTATTAAGTTTGTCATGGAAAGCTTTAATACTAGACTTTAAGTAAATTTCTAAGTTCTCTTGACTGGAGCATTTCCACTGAAACATTCTCTATTGCTGCTAATGTACAGCACATAGGAATCAATTCTGATTAGATACTATAAATGGCCCACTTTCTCCTCTATGGTAATGGGATATGAACCCGTATATGCTTAGAGAGAGACAATTGTGTGAACGTAAGTATACATAGATATCCATGCATGCACACAGTACGGCAGTCTAAAAGGTTCCCTGAAACTGCTACCTGTTGTCTCCTTCTGCTGACCATTTCACGTCCTGTCATCTTCACAGATACATTAGTCAGGCAGACATAAAAGCATCTGGAAATTCTGAGTCCACTTCACAACTTACTAAAACTTTTAATTAAACACTTTGAAAGCATAAGAGGCCAGAAGGTTAGAACAAGATAGAGTGAACTGGTAATCTGGATACATGTACAATTAATTAAAAATGCACCAAGTAGTCCCTTCTTGTCGATACTATGGCAAGATTCTTTTCATTAATTAAACACTGTTTACTTTGAGTCTATTATGTTCCAGTTGCCAGGGAAACAATAAATGGCAATAACATAAGTGGCTCCTGTCTTCATGAAACCAACAGTATTAATGAAACAATCACATAAGTGTAAAACTACAATCATGTTATGGTTGTTTTATGTTATTAAAAATTCAAAAGTTCAGGAAAAAGGAACTGCTGATTATTTTTTGTATTAAGATCCCAAATAAAAAGCAATCTTCATTTCCCTTGAGCCTAATGATAAAATCCCGTAACTAAGCTTTCAAAGAACAATCAAATCTAAAATCTCCAGTTAGTTTTATGAAAACTATGCATTGCAAATTCTAACACAGGAAATTGCTTTGTAAATATTTCGATAGCTCAACTAAATGAAGTGGGCCTGAGCTGATGTACAACTCCCAATGTGACTGAGTCATTTATACACTTTTAAAGGGCTATAATGAACACTTGAAATTTGTGAGAAAATATCTAATCTTCAAATATCTCCAAGCTTGTTAGAAATTTAGAAATTCTTGGCTTTCCCTTAAATAACATTTTCATTAAGTCTCAAGTAAGTCCTGTCAGTTTCTTAATGTTACATGTTGACCATATTTCCAATGCTCACTAAAGGGTCTTCTCTGTCTCTCACTTGGTGAGCAAATTTTCTATTACCTGGAAACATGCACTAATAACTTTGCAGTGCTAACTTCCACATTCCACTCATTATTCTAGTCAAAACTCCATTTATCAGAATAAAAACCATTAACTTCTTAGGCATCTTCATTTTCACTAATAGGGATAGCATCTGGTATTCTGAAATTTTCAGTGCTAATTTTCATAAAGATATAGTTTTAATCATTAAAGAAGTGCTCCTGCATATACTCACATCAGCATGAAATACGAATCCGATTTAACTTCCAAAAAGTAGAAAGTCAGTCAGGCTAATGCTCTGCCTACACATTTTGCTTGAAAATTGGACCCACACAACATTCAGGGTTGAATTCCTCACTCAACATAATGACAGATTACCACACATTCATGAGTCATTAGTGAACACTAAGAATTGTGAACGTCAATAGTCTTGGATACTCTAAATGTCAATAAATTAAGCCAAAGGCCTTAATTTCAAAATAAAAAAAATTATACATTATAGTATAAAAACCCAACTTTATTAAACTAAGACTCCAATGCATACAAACCTTTAAAGCCTTCAGGATACACATCAGCGAGGAATTTAGTGTTGATGTCTCCTTTCACAAAGCGTGAGTTGATTATCACCTCTCGAAGTAAAGAAATATTATGTGTAACACCTAAAAATAAAAGATTTCAGGGCTGAATAAGAGAACAATGAATCAGCTAAAAATCTAATTCTGAACTTCTTAACTGAAGAAAGTTATTACTAAAGTCCTATGATTTAGCAAGACCCACACAAGGTTGTTGATCTCATTTTCAAGTAACAACAAAAATATCTGAACTTGAAACAATAAGACACTAAATATAAGCTTAAGAAGCTTATGATTGCCAAGCCAACTCAATGAGGGAATAAATGTCTTTTCAATAAATGGTATTGGAACAGTTAACTATGTACTTGGGGCAAAAAGAAAATGAACCTCAACCCTAAGCACAATATACACAAAAATTAACTCAAACTGGACCACAAATTTAAATGTAAAACTTTAAGATTTAGAGAAAATACGGGAGGAGATGGTGGGGATCTGATGCCTTGAGGCAAGTAACAGATTTTTAATACACAAATGAACCATAAAAAGATTATCAACAGATTATGTACTTTATCAACATTTCTAAGTCTTCCCTTCAAAGGATATGGTTAAGAAAATGAAATGGCAAGTCACAGGCTTTGAGGGCATAGTCACAACTCTTATATCAGACAAAGAACTTATAACTGGAACATATCAAGACACTTAGAGCAAAATAATAACAATTTGATCTAACATTGTACAAAAGACATACAAATGATCAACAAACAGGAAAAAATATTGAACATCATTAATATCGAAGAAACTCCCCAAATGCCAATTTAAGTGGCTAAATGTTAAAAATGGGTAATACCAAGTGCTGGTGAGGACATGGAACAAACAGAATTGTCATACCTGTGAACTGCTTTGTTTGTACTTCTCCTTCCCCCTTCCTAGGGGCTTCCATCACCATGGAGCAGCCACAGTGCTCATGAGAAATACATTTCTACCTTCTATGCTGTCTTCAAAAACCCTTGTTACCTCAGGCTACCCTGCACGCAGTGCATGGAGGAGAAGGGTTTATCTTTTCCATATCACTTCCCATTTCTAAGCTGACCAATGTTAACAGCTAAATTCATCCTTCCAGGCATTTCTCTACGCGTGTCTTTATACTACCCCATACTCTGAGTTCTGAGCACCCCTGCTTCTGACTCAAATGATACCATTTGCCTGAAGTTTTATAAAAGTCAGTTGTCAATTTATTCAAACTCCTTCAAAACATTTAGTGAAAGTCACCAAGTTCAAATATGAATGCTGTTCCTTTAGTTACACAAATGTTCCGTGAAAGCTACAGGTGGGGACAGTGATCTAGTAACTATCTTTCAGAGCATATCTCCAAGAGAGCCACAGTTATCACACTCTACTTCCAAAGACAACAATATATCCAACCAATCATTGCAAAACTGTGATCTCTGCCTGTAGTTTTAGGTGGTATTTGGATAGATGAAAACAAAGAGGAGCAATTAAAGACAATAGGCGAGGAGGTTAGAAAGACCAACTAGGTAGGCAAGAATTTAAAATAGAATCTTTGAAAGCCAGGTGATAAAAAGGAAAAAAACAAAAACCAAAAGCAATTTTAAAGAAGAAAAGGGGGGTGGCTAGCCAGAGAGATTTATCTGCAGAGGAAATGACAGACGTGGTGTTTCAGGAAAAGGGAAGGATCGTGACTCACACAAATTTTCCAGGCTGGGGGGAAAAATAGAGGAAGACTCAGGATACAAAGACAGGTATGTGGAGTAGGTCCACATATTCAGGCACATCTGTTATAAAAAGGAAGTGGCTACCAGGAGTTACTGCTCTGAAGACGACTGAAAGGACACACCATGTGAGGGGTGAGCAAAGGAGAGAACAGGGTGTCTGAACAGCCCACAGGCACTCATTTTCCTTTACCTTGAGGGCAATCAGAAGATCTGTGCATTCCAGGAAGCACCCAGGCTGCCTTGGGGAAAGGTCTTGGGGAGGGGAGTGAAAATGCTAACAGTCACTGACAGGGAGACTCGTGAGGAGACAGCTGAGAAGTGCCAGGCCTTGGCTCACAGCTCAGGTGTGGAATGCAGAAAGAGAAAAGTCACCAACTGGAGAGAGACTCTGGAGGCAGACAAGCTAGGTACATGCCAAGAAGGTGGGGCCAAAAAGGGTGGGGGCAGGTGATGAGTCAAGCATAGCGCTCACTTTCTTGTTTCTGCAACCTCAGAGAAAACAGCATTCACAGGAAAGCCACAGGCTGCGAAGGAAAATCCGATTCTTTGTGGGCAAGTTCAGTCTAGAGGCCCGTGAGGTGACCCCCGCTGACAGGAGAAGAGGCGCACTCACAAGAGCGGCAGAGTTGACCGCACCAGAGTCTACTGCAGCCCGTCAGATTACAGACGGTAGGAGGAGTCCTCTGCACAACGGCATCCCAGCGTGGGAAGCAGGAACATAACCAGAACCATCCACGTGAAAGTGATTCGTACACCATAGCTGGAGTTTGGGGAAAACTAGATCCTACAGGAGTAGCTGGAAAGGAGGAAAGTTAGAAGATCAAAGTGCAACTATAATTTCCAAAGAAGGTGCTTTTATGTACAAATTAAACACCCAGACAGCAGTCAGTGTAGAGCAAATGGAGGATTATGGGGCTGGGGGTGGGTAAGGTGTGATGACATATCTGAGGAGATGTGTACTTCTAGCCCTAGGTCATGTCAACCAATGCCACCTCAATAAAAAATGACTCAAGTTTTAAAATTCAGAATGTGGGCCTCCCTGATGGTGCAAGGGGTTAAGACACAACCTATGAAGATGTCCGCAGCCACTGCAGCACGTGTTCAATCCCTGGCCAGGGAGCTACCCCCATGGCTCAGCAGACCTCTCCGGACTGGCCCACTGCTCCCCTCAGCAGTGTATTTCAGTCAATCTGCCTGTTCTGTTCTCCACTCTGTCTCTGGTGGATCCTCTCATTCCCCCACACCTCTGGCCTGTACCCCAGTTCTTGTATGCATAAATATATCTTTAAAAAAATAAATAAAATTCAGAATGTTTCTGTTTATATCTTTCTTAGATAAGGAGTAAATAACTTTTCTAGAAAGGAAATCTGTCAGGATTTTTGTCCTTCCCTCCTCCAGACAAATCAATACCGATCACTTCACATATTTACATTTTGTATTTAACTCTGGTTCTCCTATTACAGCCTAGTACTGATATAAAACTTTTCTTTGTGTGGCCAAGGCCAAAATAGTTGACATCATACTTGATAATTTGAACAAAAATAAGAATTTCTGACTCACAGAGATCAATTTGTGACTAATGATACCCGCAAAATTGAAATTTATACAGTTTTATAAGATAAGTGTTATATTTTTTCCATATTCTAAGTTCAATAAAAGGTGATTTTAGAAAATGTCATTCAAAGGAATTATCAGCAAATATGAATTAACATTTTGGATATAAAGAACAGAACCATTCAAGCGCACAAATGAAACGTGAACTTTAAAAAATCTTTCTACTCGAAAGCAGAAATTAGAAAATGCTGTCACTTGCCTAGCAAGTAGATCATGAAAACCCTGATATCTATCTTGCTAAAGGTTGTTTCAGGAATAAAATCAAAGTATTTCTCTGAATGAAGTATTTTTCTGAATAGTCTCTGAATAAAGTATCACACATTACTATGCAAAATCAAATCTCAGTGATTTGTTTTCTAAGGCCAATGTGGTGGACTAATAGCTAATGGCAAACAACCCAATCCAGCTGCTTCCACTGGCTACAAATTTAGTTCTATAGTCAAACAGGAATAATCAAAAATCATTTTATACCTAAAAGTTCAAAAGCTCAGATAAGTGGGGAAAACCCTTCAATTGTCCAAAGACATCCAATGTACTTGTAAGTTGTCATTTTGAACATTCCATGTCCCAGGAAAAACAAAGCTATTTAAACTGAGCTCTGTTTCAATAAATAAATGGATAGGAGGGGTAATTAGTCTTTGAGGCTTAGTTTATAACTTCAATGATATTATCATCACATACACATAAAGTTATGACCCAGAGTGTAGACTGAGAATAGAGGGTGACCTCTGCCAAAGTTCACAAGGTCTGTATGGGAAATGAGGAGCAGGCCACGGGAGAGAGGACCCCAGGAGCAGCTTTCTCCTGACTACCTGCTGCTCCCCAAACAGCGAGCAGACATTAGCAGCACACACGCCAGGATCAAACAGAGGCCACAGCCCCACTTACTCATGAGGACTCAGAAATTAAGCAAATGACATTGTGCTATAAAGTTTCTTTAAACCAAAGCTCCAATCATCTCAGGGGGAAAAAAATCTTCATTTGGGCAATGAAGTAATTATCAAACAAGACAGTAAACGGCCTTTCCTTCGCTCATCACTGTAAAAACTATTTTTTAAACCCCTCTGTCCATTAGAACTGTCCAGATGGACAACAGAAGCCATAAAGGCATGTTTTTATTTCTTAAATGTTAACCTGAGGAGGTGGGGACCCAGATGTTCCTCCTTGCCTACTTTTAAAAACATTTTATTTTGGAATAATCAGAATTAAAGTCACAAAAATAGTACCAAACACTACTGTATATCTTTGTCCAGATTTTCCAAATGTTAACATCTTCCCTCATTGTTTCTTTCTATGCACACAATTCTTCTCCTTAAATACTTCAAGTAAATAAACATTTCAATTTGTGTGTCTAAAACCAAGGTAAGTCTCTGATGCAATCACAGGCCAACAACCAAGTCTGATAACGGACACTGATAATCTAGAATTTATTCAAATTCCATCATTTGCCCCCTTCATGACCTTTGCTGCAAAAGGAAACATGGCTTCTTGGGCAGCCACTGAGCATAAGTTGTCACATGATTGCAGTCCCCTTGCTCTAGGTAAGTCCTTCCACTTTTCTTTGTTTCTTCACCTTGCCATGTTTGGAGAGTAAAAGCGATTCTTCTGGATAGTCTTTTAATTCAGTTTGTGTTTCCTCGAGGTGATACTCAGAGTACACATTTTGGGCACGGATATGCCAGGAACTGGGCACACTTTGCAGCACTGACCCTCCTATATAAGTGGTGATACTGATTTTCC